TGTACTTCAGGGCGCAGCTATTTCTGTGCCAGGTGAATCACATCAAATAGTTGGGAAACTGGCAGCTTACCCTCTTGGTACTTCTATTCATGAGATGCCTGGGCTCACATGGCTGTGGTAACTCCAATCAAGCCAGGACTTCTTCTCTCAGCTGGGGGTACTTTGCTATATCCTTGGCAGGCAAATCATAAGAAGCCTTGTGGGCCTCACTGCAGAGAAACAAAGCAAGTACGCTGGCCCATTGCTCCACTAGCCATACTTCTCACTGGGCAGTCCTCTCAAATGAAAGAAAATACACCTCTACATCATCCTCAGACATCATTTTTGGCAGCCAGTCTGTGGCCCTCCAGGTTTCTGTTCCTCCAGGCCCAAGAGTCTAGGTGGTAAGGATCTTCCACATCTCGAAGGAAGGCTCAATCAGAGGCTGCTTGATTCACTAACAACTGATGTGTTTCTTGCTGCTGCTGGCTAACCTCCTGTAGAGGCAACCCCTGCACCCAGGTGGCCTCCTATTAGGCTGCCATGGCTTGCACCAGGGCTTTCACCAAGTCCTCCATCTTGGTGAGCCCTCTAACACACTCTTCCTGCCTTGCAGCTTTCAGATCTCACCCAAACTCTCACTCTCGCATGCCTCTCAACTTACAGGAAAGGAGCCCTTTTAAACCAGTCTCAGCTGGTTCTCGATTGGCCATAGATGGTCTGATTAGCCTGACTCCCTTGGCTCTGGAAGGCTCCTAATTAGCTCTAGGTGTTCTGACCCGATTGTCCAGACTGCTTCTGGAAAGTTCCTGCCGGCTCTAGGCTACCCCCTGCCAGTTTACACAGGGAACAGAGACCTACTTAATCTGGGGCTTTTAGCACTCTTTTATATCCCTTTGCCCTGTCTCTGTCACACCTGCTATGTGTAATTATGGTAAAGACATGTGAGACCAGGTCCAGCAATTCTAAACCTAGGGTCAATACTCAGGGTATGTCTACACTACAGAGTTTTTTCAGAAAAACGGCCATTTTGCCGGAAAAACTTCACTTACGTCCACACTGCAATTACGTTCTTTTGAAAAAAAATTAGAAAAAACAGAGGGGTTCTTCCAACATTGGTAAACCTCTTTCTATGAGGAAGAAGCCTTTTTCTGAAAGAGCTGTTTTGGAAAAAGGCATATGTGGATGGAAAAGAGGGAGTTCTTTCAAAAGAAGAGAAGAGAGGAAAAAGCACAGGTGCCCTGGTCCATAGTAATGACAGCTTAAATGAAAGACAGCATCTATTCAGTATGGACACTATCTTTCAAAAAAGCAGATCACTTTTTCGATGCACTTTGGCAGTGCGGATGCGCTCTTTCGGAAGAAGTTTTTTCGGAAGATGTCTACCAGAAAAGCTTGTTCCGAAAGAAGCCTGCAGTCTAGACGTAGCTGCAGTGTTGATGTTCAAGCCCTGACTTACAAACACTGAGCCTAGAAGCTTGAATCCACAATCCTGGGCTTATATTGCAGTGTAGATATATCCAAAGTGAGGAAGTGGGGGAGGTTCAAAGGCTGGTAAGAGTAGAATATAGTCAATAGACCCATCTGGCGAACCTCTGGGCAAAGATGGTGTAATATATTGAGTTGGTCTGGGCACTGCTGAGAGGACCAAATCAGGGCAAATTGCTCAGAACCAGGGCTACTTACAGCCCAAGACTGGGGTCCTTCTCCATATGGAGCAAACTTGTCACACAGAGCACGTCAGCTGCCCCGCTGGCCAGCAAGAAGCCTCATAAGCAAATCCCCTTAGACATCCCAGCATTCCCTGTGCTACAACCAGCACCACATCTTACACAAGTGAGAGGTTATAAAACTAATCTCACCAACTCCGAACAGCTTCTCCCAGTCCCAAAGGACCACTCACAGTCTCAGGTCAATTTATACTTCAGTTCTTACCCAAAAGAGCATGCTGTGCCAATCCTTTAGTATCTAAAATCTAAAGGTTTATTAATAAAAGAAAATGTCGAGAGTTAAATTAAGAAAATACATTACATACATCAATCACCAAGTTCTTGGTGCAGGCTCTTAGCAGAGATGTAACAAACTGCTAGCTTAAAAGTCTCTGGAGTACATCCTATGTTAGGATGGATCAACAAATCTTTCTGGACCCACTATCCTTACCAGTGGTGCTTCAGGAGTGGTGCTTTTTCTGCTATAGCAATGGAGTCTTGGGGATTTCCTTGTTGGTTGTTCTCTGTAAAAGGTAAAAAGGCAAGACTTGCCAGACATCAAGGGAGTGTAGTCTTCATTATTCTGTGTAAGTCTGTGGTTTTGGGAAGAACATAGGTAAGTGAATGGATTAGGTAAGGTGAAATTCTGAAATTACATTAGGAGTGAATTTAGGGCATACGATAAGAAATCTTATCCTCATTCAACATAGTGCATGTAGGCTCTGCCATTATTGCTGAGATGATGGCTATAAGGCAAGCAATCATCATGGAAAGGAAAGGCATGGAGTAAGTAGTCAAAACTCAGAGAGGCGCTCAGTGAATACTAAGAGACCCAAGTTTAGAGCCCACAGGGGAGCAGACTTCTGAATATATGGAAGATTTTTTTTAGGCCTTTTCAGAATCTAGTGGTGAATGGATTTGCAAAGAGAGAGTAGCCCTGGAAAAGGAGGGTGATATGTGCTAAACACCATCAAATGGACCTGCAAGGAGCAGATAGATAAACCTGTTACAGTTCAAAGATAATATAATCCAAGAAAAATATCTGTAGTCTCTTGGAGATCCCCTTTGGTGTGCCTAAGAAGAGACGCACTTCTATTTAGCAAGGTAAATTTTTCTAGTAGAGGCCTCTCATTAGAGAGGATATCTTATGTGGCTATGGAGCATAAATATACATATCCAAATACCAAGCCCTGGGGTACAGAAGACACAAATTGGGATGCTTGATCTTGCCATTCCACTGGGTCAGAAGCCTGGGGAACACATTGGGAGGATGATTGGTGATTGGGATGATGTGTAGTTGGGAAACCAGAACTGTCTGGGCCAGAAGGGGGTGAGCAGGATGGA